TTCCTGCATAGTAAAAAACATTTTGTATTTGTATTAAAATTCTGGTCCCGCTGTTAATATTTTTCTGTAAAATTTTTAATATACCAGTGTATAAATTTAATGTATCATGTTCGTGTTGTCCGAATATTTTGTGCTAATATTGATATTGAATGTATGTAAATGTTAAAATTATACATTTTATACTTCAGTATAGATTAACATATTATAAATGTTAATTTTACTAGAAAGATATATTTTCGCCATCTAACGATATATACAATACAAAGTGTTTTGATATTTTAGGCTTTCGCAGTGTCCATGCATATTAGATTTGGTTTCCGGGTTTGAGCCGTGTAGATTCTTCTTTGTCTGATTCCGACGTTTCGCGAACATTTCAGTTCGCTTCTTCAGGCAGGAACGACCCAATGTAAAAATACAAAGTATATTTACAATCAGAGTAAAAATAGTGTAGTAGATAAGTGACTCTAGAAGCAGAATTCCCAATTTCGATTCCATCTATGGCAAGTAAATTTTCTAAACATGAGATATCAATTTTGAATTAATTAGAGTACATTGACAATACATTGATTACAAAAATTTCCGATGAATCATTCACGACACGTCAAAAGTGACGCAATTAAAGAGGAGATAGAATATTTTTCTCACTGTGAGAATAAAATTTTTGTTGTATTACATCTGACACTACAAAAGAATACAAAAGAATACGTCAGTTTTGCATAAAATGTACTCCAAAGTAGTGTCGGTGTTAAATCTTTTGTGTTAATTTCCCACATATAATATTTGCGTTTTTTGACATATTCACCTTGTGCTGGATTACACTGAAAAACTTATTTAGTTGAGTTCATCAAAATTTGGTTAAAATAAGGTGGAACAAATGTTTTGGTTGTTAACCAATATTTGGTACTTTGAACCAAAGGTTTGATTTTTTTAAACAAAAATGAAACAATTCAGAGAATTTAGTTTCAGAGAATCAAATCTTTGGTAGAAAGAGCGAAATTTTGGCCCTCACAACTGAAACATTTGTTCGACTCTATTTTAACCAAATTTTGGTTAACCCAAAATGAATTTTTCAGTGTAGCACAGAAAGTCCTCAGCGGATCGTCCCGAGCGTGTGAATTTTGCGTTACAATTGAACGCAAAATTGTTTACCGTGCGCATTTTCCGCGCAGCGTGCACGCGTGCAAAAATCCACCTCGACACTAAAACCGAATGCACAACTGATTTTTCACCGTCCGTCGTTGCGCCGTGTCGCGGAAGATCGATGCTGCAACGCGCGGCTCCCGCCTGGGAAATATTCACTTTGCGAGCTGCGCGACTCACCGGGATAATTGGAAATGAACCATCTATGCAAACTATGAGACAGCCGGCTGTGCGCTGAGCGCGCGAAGGCACCGTAATAAACCGTTACGATCCCGCGTCGCCACTATCCTACAACGAGCTTATCTACGAGCAAGGGTCCCCGGCATTTGATATAGGCTCCCGCCGTGTTTATAACCGCGTAAGCGGAAAAGTACTTCTGCACACATATTTTCGCACTGGCATTTATCGCCATGTTTCGTGTACCGTCTGGCAGTATCCACCCACCACTTTCTCTCGCCTTTTTCGGCCGCTTCACGGATGTTCCAAAAATATCCACCGCCCGGTGTTAGGTTACACGCGCGCCGCGCTTTCACAAATTTCTCTCCCCAAATGTTTTTAACGGGATCCATTAGTGCGCTTTAGCGGCGAAAGACACCGACCCCATGTGGATCAACGAAATTATTCAACCAGCCGCGTCGCAATAATCCGGCAAAATGCGTGTAAGTACATTAGATTTACTCGGAAATCGCGTCCCTTTTTATCTGTGATTGTATGACGAGAGCTATGCGATTATTTCTGTCGCGCTGCATAAAACAAATATAGAGAAACAGCAGTGACAGATTATTTTCGCCTGCGCAAGAATACAGTCTTTCGTTCTACTGACAAGAAAAAAAAAGCGCGAGGAAACAATCAAAATATGTCGAAATCGCTGAACAAAATTCAACAAACAATTGCTCTATCATTTTGCGAACAATCACGTAAAATTAAGTTAAATTAAATTAAATTAAGTAAAAAAAAAGTTAAATTAAATTAAGTTAATGACATTCTGTATAAATTTATGAAATATTTGAAAGTGAAAGTAACGTTCACTTGAGTGCAGCATGTTTTTCTGTGCGTACGATTAGAATACACTAGTGACCCAATTATACTGCCTGTTAAGACTATTATGCCGGTCTGTGTACCGTGGAAGGACCAAAGTGCTCGCGATATGAAACAACATCTCGACACTTCATTCACCGACCGCTGTCTCAGCGAACATCAGAACCGGGAGTTTGCAAAAGAGAGTGTGTGTGTGTGTGTGTGTGTGTATGTGTGGAGCCCTCTATTTCAGGTCATACACCCAAGTAGAAATTCGACCAGTTTCTAGGCAGTAAGATTGCCGGCCTCGCCGGTAATGTGACTTCGTGTTCCTTTCTGTTGCCATCCGTCCTCAACAAACACGATCGTGCATGAAGCGAAAACGGATTGGTCCGCGGTGCGGTCCGTCATTCTTTTCCACCTATTTTCCTTAAACCCACCGGTCCGCCTTCCCATCCGCCGGTCGCATTGTAATTCCGACCGAACAGTTTCGCTAGTGGCAAGTCCCTACGTGCCCGGCATGTCAAATTCGACACATAAAACTACCCGTGGAGACAGTAACCGTTCCGGCTTAACGTATCGTCGGCACGTGTCACCGTCCTCGTCTTCGTCCTCGTCCTCGTCGCCGTCGTCGCCGTTGTTTTCAGCGTCGTCGCCGTCGTCGTTGGTTGTTGGCCATTATTATGGTAAACGCGCGAACGCCCGTAAATAATTGGTATCGGATGCTCATTAACTAAATCGCCTGGCGTTATCGCCGAGTCGGCTCACGGACGCTGTAACGCGACAATAAAATGCGCAGGGAACAGTGCAGGACGTCCCGAAAGAGATGGATAAACCTCTCTCGTGAGGCAGCGTTTACGTGGATGCGACGGGATGTCGCATTGTTTAATCGTGCACTTTGTCACAGGTTGTATTTTTCCGACATCGAAATACTAGCATCGCGAAAATCCAAGGAATCGGACATTTTCATGCACACAATCTTACACGCCGTTCGTTATTTTGTGTGAACTCCAATTAATGTTTCAAAATCTGATATTTTCTCATTTAATTACTTATTTATTTCGCTTATTTATATGAAAAATTGTACCCTTCATAAAACAATGAAAAAGAAAAACAAAAATAAATGAAACAAATTATTGCAGAAATATCCACTGAAATTTGTGTAAAAGAAACCAATAATTATTTAACTTTAATTTTTCCGGATGTAACATAGTGCTACATCCCAAATTTCTTCCAAATTTCTTCCAAAAATGCGCAGAAAGAGTGAAAGTAAGGAGAGAAGACATAGAGAATAACTAAATAAATATATTAATCGTAAATAATTGTAATACACTTGAATGTTTAATGTGATGACAAAACTTTATATTCAAGACATTTATGATTTATTTGAAAAAGAGGTTGAGCGAAGCACTTGAAACAGTACAGTTTGGGTATTTATGCTTGTTAGATATTTATACTCATAAGATGTACGCGTAAATATTTAGATATTTTGTTCAACGCAAATGAAAAAATAGAAATGGGAAGAAAAAGAAATTTGAAAAAATATTTGGTAGAGAAAATGAGATCTGACTTTCCAATCAGAACTCATCATTTTTAGGAAGAAATCGAAATAGATTCCAAATTAAATCCTACAAAATTTTCCATATATACGGGATCAGAATTCATAATTATTTTGGAGGAATTGATCTGGATTTTAT